CACAAGCTTTTAGTCCCTTCTTGCCATGAGCATATTTCGCTTTCAGTAATTCCCCTAATATACTGGCCGTTGCCTTCTTCCCGTATTGCGACCTTGCTTCAACATCACACGTATGTTTAAGAGTTGCTATTCGGATTTCCACATTCTCTGAGTCCTTGTGATAAGTAGCATATATCCTCCAATGACATTTCCGATCCCCGCAAACAGCTATCACCCTTGTCTTGTCCGATGCGCTTATTCTGAAATTGAACAACCTTTTTATTGAGTAAATACACAATGCCTTATGCAGCTCGTTCTTATTCTTGAATATTCTCCCGATATACATATAATCTTCCGACTTCTTTAAATTCATGTTTGCCTTGTCTCCGGTAACTGCCACTGCGTTGTCCTTGAACGGAGTCGCGTCACCTAAAAATATCGGGTCGTCCTACGGAACTTCACACACTGCATTATACCTACACCTGGGGGGCATCATTTGATTTCCAATGTCCATCAAAGCCAAAGCTCCCTCTTCTGGTCTCGTACTGTCCCCATCTTCTACACCTATATTATACCCACTTGGGACATACTTCGATTTTCGAGGTGTCTTTCATCTACTAGTTTTGATCCCCCAGAACTCTCATTACCTACATCTTCAGCAACTACATTATTCCGTCCTCGCAGCGATAACCTACTACATCTTCTAGGTTGTTGTCGATTAGTACACCTTTCATCAGCTAAACTTCCTTCAGTCGAGTTGATTATCGGGAACACCAGGCTTGTTACTCCATAGTCGATCATTTAAGTTGGTCTTCTTGACGACCCACTATCATCGTCCGCATCCCCAACACTACCATCTGGTGCATGCCTAACCCTAATGATCCCGCTCGGGGACAACTGTCTTTCGACTTCGATGTCTGTGTTTTCCTGCGTTATCGTTTCGCATGCAATATATCTCCTCACCGAGGACACAACTCACTGCGCCAATTCTAAGGACAACAATGACTCGTTATCTGGTTCATCTTCCGCGTCTGTCCCCCGCTCTTCTTCGCTGGCCATCTCTGCACCATTTGTTTCTCCTACTTCGGTGTTTAGTAATGACTGCGCCAACTGTTCATAGCTAAACATTACAGCATCATCAGGTCTACACTCCTCAACTTCCCGATAATCACATGTACGTGTTCTTGCTATCGGGGACAGCCTGAGATTTGCACCGACTATTGATGAACTCGTCTCCTGCGTTGTAGTCTTGTTACCACCCGAGGTGACCGCTACATCGTCTTCTCCTCTAACTTCAGCATCGCCACTAGCGGACCAACTCTTGACTCTCTTAGGGTTGTAAGGATCCCAGTCCGTCGGGTAGTCTCTATCGATCATGTCTCTCATTTTATCAAAATCATAATCTTCTGAGATCTCACAACTCACCAACGTTTCCCCAGAATTAGCCCCAAACTCCTCCAAATAATCCGATCCTCGACCTTTTTTCACATTAATAGCCTTGTATACTTGCTCTATCTCATCCACTTCTGCTAGGAAATCTACCTCTTCATACGTATATGGAAGACAGTGACTTCCTAAGTCTTGTCCCCCCATAGCCTGGAAACTTCCTCTGTGACCTGTCTCCGCGATTGCTACAGCTCTTAACACGTTCTCATCGAAAGCGCTGAGTTCACTCTGTCCTCCGCGATCTGGCATGTCGTCCTCGTCTTCATCAACACTTACGTACATGTTCATGCTCCCTTTCTTTAGACGAATTTTTTTGAATTTTGTCAACGAACTCTCGCTGTCCACAGAAACAGCTGAGTTCCATTTTCGTCTTTTTCTTATCTATCCCATACACTTTCGCGATTTTATCTTCCACTCCCTCAAACTTGTCTTCGTCTTCTACATCAACACATTTTGCAAAGTACCGATCTGACATACGAAACCGCCACATACCACCCTCCAGACATTTCCAATTTCCGACCAGCATCATCACAGATTTGTCCATCCTAACCTGTCCCCAAAATAATGCAAAAACCAACATTAGTTCAAATTTACAATAGACTATTTATACCTTCTGGTTTCCCACTATTTACTGCAATTGCATTTATGTAGCTACTCAAGAAGAAATTTTGTACCTCTGTAAACTTTCAGTCCTTCGCCTTAAATGTCCCTCAGCCTCCACCACTCCTTCGCGTTAAATGTCGCCCACCAGAAACTCTCTCAAGAACACTCCATAAACCAATCAATTTTTAGAGCTCTTTTTCCCCAAATCCTTCCCCATCACGTCCCCATTTAATGTTATTATCTTCCTTATTATTACCTCAATTATTTTGTTATTAACTATAATAAAACTAATCATCACTTTCATTTAATGCAGCAGACCTGCTCCCCGGTTCCCAACAAGCGACTCCTGGCGACTCCTGTAGCTCCTTCCACACTCCTGACGCATGCAGAAGGGTAAACTCGTCCGTCCTCTACCACGCTACCAAAGACATGTGGTATGAATGCTAAATCGTTTTGCAATGTGGTACATTTTCTAGGATTTTCGAAAATTGTGGCACATTTGCCAAATCTCTATAACTTATCTAGAAACTTAACATTTTATATTGTGAAACAAATTTTTTTTTCTAAAACATCTTATATTATAAAACGGAAGAAGTATCATTTACACTCTTTTTATATAAAAAAGCTATTCCTTATTGTTCCACAAACCTGTTTTTATTGAGAACTTTTGTCTTTGTGGAAAAACAATTATTGCACTACTAATTTTTTAATAAAATTTTGAAATTTCATCAAATAAATATGTGTATGAAATGGTAGTTTCAACAAGTGGTTTTATAACTAAAGTTCATCATGAGGTTCAACAGAAAATATCAATTTGAAATAAGAGATAATTGGCTAGGAGACAAAGATTTTGAGTCTAATTAGTTTTTCATAAAATCTTGTCGTAGTACATAACATAGAAGACATTAGCCCCTTTTTTTTTTTGCCAAAAATAGCCTTACGTGTGTTTCCATTCGATATGATCCGGTTTAATACATGAGACATCAATATGTTGTGCATGAATATCCAAAAATCTTTATAGATCTATGTATATATCTTACATGTAATCTTCCTCGTGTGCCGCTATCGTTCATATTGAGCCAGGATCGAACAGAGCACCGCACTGTAATAGCAACACTTTAAATTCAACACAATTAGTGTTGCTATTATGATGAATCTTCGTAAGTTCTGTGACAATTTAACAAAAACTGATGAAAATGCAATGACAGTTCGACGAAAATCTGTGAAGATCCGGTGATAATTCAAAGAAATCCGGTAAAAACTCGACGAAAACCGCTAAAAATCCATCGAAAATTTGACAAAATTTATGATTCCAATGATATTTCAATGTCCAATTATAACGCATCATTCACTTGCTCCGTTCAGCGGTTTGGGATACAGTAGTTATAATTATGTTTGTAGCATGCATACAAGTATAATAATGTTAATAACGTTCTATATACGTTTTTTTTTTGTAATATCTTGCTCTATATACGTGTTTACATATATACAAATGTTATAACGCTCAATATATGTGTTTACATGCATACAAATGTTAATAATGATTCATGTACATGTTTATATATATACAAATATTAATAACGTTCTATATATGTATACATAGATCCAATAATTTAACACTATAATTATTTTTAACGCTCTATACATGTATTTTACATGTATACAAACGTTAAAATCGTCTAATATATATTTGTAGCGTGCTAAAAATTTTCCATTTTGACAAAAAAACAACAATTAATGTTAGTCTGTCCGTTATTAAATGTTTGGTTATAGTAGATACCCCTCAATTTTTTTTGTCTCATATAAACGTTATATCATCTGATTAAATACCGCTTTATTCCTTTTTGCCAAAAAAGTCAAGGGTGCTATCCCACACGCATAAGCGTGTAAGCAACTGGTATTTTGTAAATTTTTTGAAACCGAGGGCCATTGATAGCGATCTATTTTTTTTCGTCTGAGACAAATCAACTTTTTTCGATTCGCTAATTTGATGCTCTATTTTTGTCTCCGCCCAATCGACCTTTAAAATAATTGATGCTCAATTTGATATCAGCATAATAATAATGGTCAATTGTAATATCGATGTGATGTCACTTGTCAAACACCATCTTTTGTCTACATGCATGTAAATTTTGGTTTTCACTATCCTGATTTTGCTTTGTCCCAAAATGATTAATTAATTTCACACTTTCCGTATCTCGATAAATTATAGTTGAATGTAAAAATAAATTGTCTCAATATACAAGCAACCTTAATGGCATCCCATTTTTCATTGCAAAGATTTTCAATAAAATGCAACGAATTGTATCATTTTTAATAATAGTATTAGAAGCCGATAACTTAATAATATGGGTTTTGACGGCAAAAAAAAAGTGAAAAAAAAAATAATAGTTCTAGAAGGACGACAAAAAAAAAAGTAGGAAAAAGGTAAGGAAACTTTAGTCAATAAAGATGTATATTCCTTAAAAAATTAATAAATACACTTCTCTGTATATTGGTACGTCTGACGATAAGTAAAAAAACTGTAAAAAGTAAAAACAGAGCATTGAAGATATTTTTGTCCAAATCAATTTGGTTTGTTTTCAATTTGATCGATTGTTTGGTTTAGTTCTTTTAATTCTGTACAGATTGTGAGATTGTTACTCAAACTGGAAAGAAGGTTTGTATGTTGATTTGGGGTTGAGTTTAAGATTAGTTCAATCGAAAGAACTAAACCGAGTCAAACTTTTATTAATTGGTTTCAATTTGTCAATGTAACTAATTTTGGTAATAATTGAACAAAAAAAAAAAGGATGATACAATACCAAATGTAACTGTTTATAAATTAAAAATTGTTTTTAATTTTTACTTGAAGATGATTTGCTGTATCTTTTCCGTGGATTAACTATAACGCATCGTCTTATAACGCATGAAGAGCCAGCAGGATTACTCAGACAAAAGTTTAAAAAAAAAAAAAAAAAAAAAGAGAAGAATCTTTTTGTGACTTCAGAAGACGAAGAAGATACAAAGCGTGGCGGCTCTAAACTCAAAATTCCTCCTCCCAAATTCCCAAATTACCCTCTCTTTTATTTTTCTAATACCCTAAATAATGAGTTCTTGATTCCAAAGAGTCGTCCATTGGGTTTCTCGTAAACCAGAGAGATACTCATTAGGAAGAAAATCAGACAAGGAGAAACTCTTTTTGTCATCTCTTGTTTGTTGGTGAGTCTTGTGTTGACTATAATCCGACCAATTTTGATCTTTGTTTGACTTCTGATCAACTTCTCAACTTCGTAAGCTTTCTCTGATTCTCTGTCTCTGTTCTTGCCTCTTGGAGAATAAAATCATATGTCGATCATTACGGTTCTTTATTCTCTTTTAATATATTGCATGCAATGATGAAAAATTAAAAGTGATTATTCGGATGATAATCATTACAGATATCAAAAAAAAAAAAAGATTGAGAAGAACAGAGAAAAATAAATCGTTGACTATATTAGATTCAAGAATCATGTTGCATTATGATCCTTGTTCTTAAAGATTGATATTTTTGAGTAACAAAACTCGAATTTCCTCTGTAAAAATTGCTTCAAGTTAGCTCTAGAATTCACAATTTTGTCTAATGTTTATAATCGAATTTGATAAATTGGTTTTTAGGCGTTGACCATATCAGATTATGTAAATCACATTGAATTAGTATTGTTGTTCTTAAAGATTGTTACTTTTGAGGAATCAGATTGATTTATATGATTTGGTTGATCATAAATATTGATACTTTTGAGTTTAACAGGTAATTGCAGGGCTTGAAGATGAGGCGTGAGTGTCCATGGCTATGGAAAGTCGAAAGCAGACGGCTTCTATGGCTATTGGGACTCACATTTGCTCTCATTGTTACCTTTCAATACATCGAGCTACCTTACGCTATCTCATCCATATTTTCTTCCACCAAGATTCCCATTTCAAGAAACTCAACTTCACTTATAGGTGACTCGACTTCCGCTATGGCGCCGAGTCCCCTGGGAGATGATGAAGAAGTTGAGGTTGATCAGATTTTCGATAGTACCGTGAATTCCTCTGCCCCCGCCATTTCGCCTATTACCGCTACATTACCGCCTTTACTGCCTGCTCCTAGTGCAAAGTCTCCGGCTGCATTACCTGGTTTAAACCCGTCTTTAGTAAAGGAAAATGCAACCTCGCCTGCTCCTAGTGCAAAGCCCCCAGCTGCATTACCTGGTTTAAACCCGTCTCTGGTAAATGCAACCGCGCCTGCTCCTAGTGTAGAGGCCCCAGCTGCATTACCTGATTTAAATCCGTCTTTGGTAAAGGAAAATGCAACCGCGCCTGTGGCTAGTGCAAAGGCCCCGGTTGCATTACCTGGTATAAACCCGTCTCCGGTAAAGGAAAACGTAACATTGCCTACCACTAGCAAGGTACCGGAAAGGAATCCAACTAAGAAAAATGTTGGTGATGCTTCTTCTATTGTCAGATTTGTTCCTGATGTAAAAGAGAACGCGAAAATGCCTGCTTCCGGGGTGATGTCAATATCCGATATGAGCAAGCAGTTGCGTCAAAACCGTATTTCTCATAATCGTCTAGCAAAGGTTCATCAAGATCTTGATATAATACATCCTTACTTAAGAAGTAACAATAGTATAACATGTTTCTTTTTCTCTTTTCAGAAACCAAAATGGGTTACTAAACCTGACTTAGAGCTTTTACAAGCAAAATATGATATCGAGAATGCACCGATCGATGACAAAGATCCTCTCCTATACGCTCCTCTTTATCGCAATGTTTCCATGTTCAAAAGGTGAGTCGGTTTTTTTTTACTTGAAAACTGCATCAAAGATCATATTCTAATGATACTAATTTGAGTTGACATTGAATTCTCTAGGAGCTATGAGTTGATGGAGAAAATTTTAAAGGTTTATGCTTACAAAGAAGGAAACAAACCAATAATGCATAGTCCAATACTTAGAGGGATTTATGCATCAGAAGGCTGGTTTATGAACATTATTGAATCCAACAACAACAAATTTGTCACAAAGGACCCTGCAAAAGCTCATCTTTTCTATCTACCCTTCAGTTCCCGGATGCTTGAGGTGACTCTATATGTTCAGGACTCCCACAGTCACCGCAATCTTATTAAGTATCTAAAAGACTATATAGACTTCATTTCTGCTAAATACCCTTTTTGGAATCGAACTTCCGGTGCCGATCATTTTCTTGCCGCCTGCCACGATTGGGTAATGCCTTCTACTCTTTTCCATGAGGATATTTTGTGACATTTCTATATGAAGTTATAAAGATGTGATTATTGAGAACATTTTTTCTGATAAATTATGGTCTTTTGTGACATATTTCTTTGAGGTTATAAGGTTGGATTTTTGAGGTCATTTTCTGATAAATGTGTGGTCTTTCATGACATTTTCAGGCTCCATCGGAGACGCGGACGCATATGGCGAAGAGTATAAGGGCGTTGTGCAACTCGGATGTCAAAGAAGGCTTTGTCTTTGGAAAGGACACATCTTTACCAGAAACTTACGTTAGAGATCCCAAAAAACCCTTAAGTAACATGGGTGGAAAGTCCGCGAACCAAAGGCCGATACTTGCTTTCTTCGCTGGGAAACCCAACCACGGGTACCTCAGGCCAATCCTTCTCTCCTACTGGGGTAACAACAAAGATCCCGACTTGAAAATATTCGGTAAACTTCCGCGGACTAAAGGAAACAAGAACTACCTTCAGTTCATGAAGACGAGCAAGTACTGCATTTGCGCCAAAGGCTTTGAAGTGAACAGCCCGAGAGTGGTAGAGGCCATTTTCTATGATTGTGTTCCGGTCATCATATCTGATAACTTTGTCCCGCCCTTTTTCGAGGTTTTGAACTGGGAATCATTTGCGATTTTTATACCGGAGAAAGATATCCCGAATTTGAAGAAGATTCTCATGTCGATACCAGAACGCCGGTACCGGTCAATGCAAATGAGAGTGAAGAAAGTGCAGAAGCATTTTCTGTGGCATGCAAAGCCAGAGAAGTATGATATGTTCCATATGATTCTTCATTCGATTTGGTATAACCGAGTTTTCCAAATTTCTGTTTAAAAATTTTGTCCAACAATTCAATGTACATTTCTTACAGATAAAATTTCTGAGTAAACTCAATTTACAAAAAAACTATATCACAAAACCAAGTGGCCACAATTTTATTCGATCAGTAAATCTAGTAGTAGTAGAATGTTTTCACTTATTACAATGATACAGTGTATAGTTTGATTTCAATCAGTAACAAAACAGAAGCATGTGAGAAACAAGAAGCAGAATTGAAGCTGCCATGTTCAGAAAACCAATCTTAGTCTCTAGAATTTCTCTGGAATTATCTTAACCTTTTGGAAAATTATTCAACACCGAAGAGGACAATAAATGGAGATGGTGATGTTTGACGTAACTGGAGACATGTTTCTTTTTCATATGTTTCGTCTGTCTCTTACATTAACCTTATCATTTCTAACTTTTCAGTATTTTCTTGGCCAAAAAAAAAAAAAAAACCTTTCAACGTTTTTAACTTTTCACCAAACATATATTATATAAATAATAAATAATAGGGTGCGAATATAATTTGTTTAACTTTTGACTGATTGTTTCTACTACTTCTATGTCTGAAATATATTTAGATAATTTAATGTTTTGTCCAAAAAAAAACAGATAATTTAATGTTATTATCTCTGAAAATGTACTGCATTATCCTCTTCAGCCTATAAAAAGTAGAATCTCGAACTGGCATGGAAGTGTTTGTCTCCTGGTGGTCTGAAAATCATGATTAAATATTTACGGCATTACCATTTTACTCAATATCGTATTTTAAAATTTCAATAACATCTAATCTAATCTAGATGTGGGAGAGAAAATTTTTAGTTATGCTTGGATTTTGTGGTTCATCGGGAAAGATGGGAATAAAAAGGTTTTCAAGAGATTACAATCTGAACCCAGAGATATTTTAAATCATGCTTTGAGTGAAAAATTAATGTGGGAAGAAGCTCAGTTGCATCCGATCTAAACTAGTTCTACTACGGAAACTTTGGAACGACCGGTTCAATCTATAAGATGTCGGATTGATGGTTCTTGGAAAAATTCAGATCCAACAATGGGTATAGGATGGTGGTGTTTTCAAGGAAATGATCAAACGTTATTGCTCGGTGCAAAGTACCTTCGGAGGTGTCCCTCCCCTCTTCACTCGGAGATGGAAGCTTTAATTTAGGCTATGAAAAATATCCTTTCAAGAGGGATCGATTGTCAGGTGTTTGAATCAGACTGCTCGGAGTTAGTCTCGATGATACAGTCACCGGATGAATGGCCTGCTTTCTCCAATCTTCTAGACGAGTTTGGTTTTCTCCGTGTCTCTTTCCCTTTCTTTTCGCTTTCTCTTATTTCTCGTTTATGTAATGTTCAAGCGGACTGCTTAGCCCGTTCTTCTAGACTTTTATTTTCTGAAGTTACTTTTGTAAACTCTACTCCTCCTAATTAGGCAACCAATCAAAGAATTATTTATTAATCAATGTGTAGTTGACAAAAAAAAAAAAAAAATTCAATAACATTATTTATCAAAAGTTTCGGCATTTTGCAGGTATTCATTCTTGAGTAGCACAAAAAATATGGAAACATCGTCGTTTTTGAGGATATCATATACACAACCATTTTAATGTGGAACATCATCACCAAATGGAAAGCCTTAATTATGTTTCTTGAATCAAAACTCTCTTACTCCATCAAAACCCTAAACTCTAAATCGTTATAACTTGGTGGGATTGTAGATCCATATAACCCAAAATTAGTTTCATTCCAACATTGTTATTGTATAGATACACTGAAAGTTGAATTCTAATAGATAACAATTATGACATACGCAATATTAGAACTGTAAATGGAAAAACAAAAAAATTCAAATCATCATTGCATGCTGAATTTCAAACACTACTTTAGACACTACAATCAATATGATGTGTGTAATGCTAATTGGTTATATATTGTGAAAGACTAAAAAGGTGATGCTCTGTCGTTATCGCTTTTTTTCTAGAATCAACCATAGCGACATCATATAAGAGAAAACAAAAAAAACCACATTTATATCCCCACTTGTTATAATTTTGAAAAGCAAAATAATTTCAAGATTTAGACACTGGTGGTCCAATTTCAATAATTTTGTAGAAATATAAATGAAACTGCTCACTGATTATAACCCAACCCGTCGGCAATAGTTTTGAGTGTGTGTGTTCTGCCCCGAACTGTAAAAATTATTGCAATAGTTAGATTGTTGTTAAAAAAAATGGTGATGAAAAAAAGATAATGCATAAGATTCCAAAATAAAAAGATTAATAGCACCAAATAATGCATTTTATCGTACATGGTTTTTAATAATAGGACATTATATAATCCGATGTCACGTTATTTCGCTTAGGCACTAAATGGTAACATCAAAAATATATTCAGCTGAATTCAGCCAGATTCAGCAATTCCCTAGTCACCATTTGCATAAAACTAAATTCAGTTCAATTCAGCCAGATTCAGCAATTTTTTCAACACTAACAGATATGTAGATATATTTATTTCTGGTAAAAATTCAGATAATAAAGAATACACAACTCGAATTAAAATATTTTATATATGAGAAATTACAAATCAAATTTATATTTTAAAATAAGTCGTACTATATAGATACAAATACGATATTGAATCATTCAGACACATAAAATTACTACCAGAATAGACAAGAGACAAATTTATGTTCGAATATTATAGATATTTTTGGATAATTTTAATAACTTTAAGCTAATCTAAAATAAATTTTTAAAATTCGCAAAAACAACTCATACATATGCTAAAATAATTTTTTAAAAATCAAAGTTTTGATAATTCTATTAATCATTCTCGTCATATTATTGATTAAACTACTAGATGACAATAAAAAATATAGATAATCTTTATTTTATTATCATGTTAATTTTTGAAATTAATTTTTCAATAATGTTTTGACAAAAATTTCATTAATAATCTCTACATTTTTAACAGTTCAAAAACTAAATAGGATAAAATAATGGAGTTTTTGCAAAAATGTCATTTTTTCAATGCCACTTTTCAAAAATACCCCTTTTTAAAACCTTATAAAAAATACTCTTAAAAATATAAGATTTACCCAAATATGTATGTAATATTATTAAAACATACACAAACTACATTTCTATGTATCTAAAATCTTATAAATACTTTATAAATACCTTATAAATCCATTTTAAATACCTTTAAAAACCTTTAAAATATCTTGTAAAACTTTTGAAAAACCTTAAAAATCTTTTAAAATAACTTGTAAAACCTTTTAAAGCACCTTATAAAACCTTATAAATACTTGGATCGAGTCTTCAAGTAGTAGTTACAATCCATAAGTACCTTATAAACCTAATAAAACTTTATAAAAATTTCAGATTTAAAAAGGGGCATTTTTAAAAATGGACATCTAAAAGGGGCATTTTTGAAAAGGGGTACACCAAAAGAGGTATTTTTAACAATTTCAATTTTGCTAACCAATATATTATTTATATTAGTATTAGTTTTAGATAATTTTAGTATTTATTTATTAATATAAGAGTTACTTAGACAATTAGATAATTTTATCTATTTTATTTAGATATTTCTTAGTTATTCTATTGATTAAGATTCATAATTATTTGACGATATTTTTCAGTTTAAGTCTTAACTATTTTGACAGATTTTACCAAAAATCACAAAAACAAAATTCAGCTAGATTCAGCAGTTACCATTTAGAAATGTAAAAATTCAGCTAGATTCAGCTAAAAATCACTAAAAATTCAGCCAGATTCCTCGGTTACCATTTAGACCCTTAGTATCAATTTTTTTTCCACAAATCTTTTTCAAAAAAAAAATCAATTTTTTTTCCAAAAACATGCGCGATAAATTATACTGTTTATTGACGGAAATATATCATGAGTTTTTGGCCAATTATCATCCCTCAAATAGTCATGCACCATTACCAAAATCATCCAAAATTTTTTTTACAAAAACAATTCATGAAAATGTTCTGAATACACATTCTTTTATTGTTCAACAAGATTTTATATATATTGCTACTTTCTATCGAAAAAGGATCTAGGTTCAAAAGACGTCACAGATAAAAAAATTGCCGCTATAAAAGTTAAGCGGAAACCATAAAACTTGTAGATAATAGGATAAATAGAAGCAATCCTAACAATCAAACCATAAACGTTATCGCGGAATCTTTAAACTTTGATAAGAATAAAAAAAAAGAGGTAAACCAATGCATTGAAAAACAAAGAACACCTATAGTGATCTATTATTCGTGATTAACATTAATCGAAGCTTAGAGGTCGCCAGTTCGAGTGACGTTTGAGACGAAACTAATATTACATACTGTGGTTTCGGGTCTGGGGAGATTACGGATTTTGGCCTAGAACCTCCTGGTATTCAAAAAAAAAAAAAAAAAGTAGGGTATAATTAACAGTCCTAAGTTCGACTAATGTAGTTCTTGCAAGAACCTTGATAAAATTGGGAAATTGGTCACTACAAACCTTGATAAAATTTTGTTTGGATTAGAATGGTCTCTTGTTCGTAAATAGTAGACAATTTTCAAATTCGTTTCGTACATTCTGTTTATTCATTCAGATTAATTCAAGTTATAAATTGACAAAAACATAAACAAATATCTCTTCCATTTATTATATGAATCATCGACAAAAAAAAATAACATGGGTCGGTGAATTCCTGTAGAATATCTTCGAATAACACTGTAGCATTTGCAATAATTGAGTTGAAACTGTTACATGCATAAATATGTATGAGTGGGTCCAAAACGACAACCATACGCGCGTTTCGTTGACTACCTTATACTCTCTTAGGAAGAAAATCAAAAATCTTTATGGTCATGTCCTACATTTCCAGATGTCTCATGGACCACTACTTTTTTCCATTTAAATCATATTTTTGTTCCAATGTTTTTCGCTATCCTTTTTTTTTTTCTCGTCGACACATAAAATGTCTTTTTCTGCCGTCGACACAAAAAATGCCTTTTTCTCTTTTCTTTATAAACTCATTCTTCTTTCACGTCTTTTTCCGTAATTTTTGTTCTTATTATTAAATATTATCAGGATTAT